GTGTTGAAGGCTGCGTTGTTTCCAGGTGATGCCCTTCTGGTCACTATGTCTTGTGCACCTATGTGGTTTTAGGTTAACCTAAAGTTGGGTTTTTACATTAGGCTAATCCTATGTATGCCTCTGCGTGTTAGCTATCATGTTTTAGATAAGCTACAGGTAGTAGTGAAAGAATGGGTGATTGCTTTAACTAAAGGGTAGATATAGGGGTTTATATCTATTAGAGGCTAAAGAGGGCTTCTGTAAGGAAGGCCTCAAATTCAAACTACATTAACTATTCCTCCAATCATGCTGTAGTGAAAAAAAACTTTTTTTTTTTGGTGAAATAGGTTCACTCAGTTTAACCTGGCTGCCCCAGTCATTGGTCTGAAACATTCAGTTTATCCCTCACCACCTTGTTTTGTGTCATCTGATGCTAAAGGAAAACTCTGTCCACTACACTTCTGTCTCACTTTCTACCTGTGGCCTTAAAGTTCAYTGAAATGTCAGATTAAGAAAATACATCAATTTTAGACATCAGACTCTGGTTTATTTTCTGTCTGTCCTCATTTTCCTCTTTAGGATGAAGGTCTCAGTGGAGAAAGAGAAGAATGGCCACCTGAATCCTGCCTTTCACCTGAAGGTGGTTGGACCAATCAACAAAGCCACTGGCCACAAGGGGGTGAGAAAATGGAAGGAATGGTGTGTGTGTGTGTGTGGGTACCTGTATCTCCTCTGTGATTTAATGAATAATAGACTGTCCATGGCCCTGACCTTCATATTCAATGACTTTATTTTACAGCAGAGACTTCTTCCCAGCAGTTCTCCKCATTACTTCAGGATATTTCTTTATTATTTCATTGTTTCATTGTAAAGGTCACTAATGAGGTGTWAGAAACAAATGGTGCGGAAAAACATAAAAAAAATTACTGAAAAAAGAAAATGAAGGAAAATACAAAGAGGATAATTATGAGGATCAGAATTAAATCAAAAGTTTCAGGCTGTTAAAAATCATATGAAATTCAGTTTTTACTCGGTGACCTGACTGTGAGTTTGCTGTTTGCTCCTCTGCTGTCTGGTTTCAGCTCCCCCACACCAGCAAAGAAGTCCTGCCCCTCAAACCAGGCCCCGCGCCAAACAGCACCCAACCAGTCAACGTTGTTCGACCTCTGAGACCTGCCCCGTCTCCCCAGGGTGGTCCCCAGGATGTCAAAGGGGTGCGACCACCTCTCCCATCTGGAAGACCTCCAACAGCCCCACACAAGTCTCCCAAAACCCCACAAAGACTCAGTCCACCGAAGAAACCACTACCCCTTAATCCAGCACGCCCTCCACTGGTGAGCCTTTTATTTCACTACACAAAGAACAGTTCTGTTTCCTGCTCAAAGATGAATTACATCAAACACAGAATATTTGCAGGAACGTGAGCTGAATTTTATACAAAAACAACCTCAGAGAAAGCAAAAACAAACTCCTCTATTTAATTTAAGGTCTCAGAATATGTAAACTATTATTGTRCTTGGTTGGTAATGTTTTTGCTCATGTATGCATGTATCTGTTTGCTACTAAAAGATTTGAAACTTGCAGGAAGTAATGATCTGATGTAGCTAATCAACTTTAGTCAACACAGAAATAGTTATAACTCAATCAGTTTTYCAAATATTGAAACTTGATGTGGTAGTAGCTGAGAGTCATTCACAACACACACTTTGACATGGATCACACATAACATTGTTTCTTTTCATAAGATAAACTTAGTCTTGTGAGGYTGTGTGTTTTATTGCTCTGTGTTCTACCTCTCTCTTGTGTTCCCTCAGTGTCATCACGCATTCTCCTCAGCTGTTTCTGTCATTCCCTCCTCAGTCATCACGCACCTGTCAGTTGTTATCTAATTAGTTTTCCCTCAGCTGTTGTCCATCTTCTCTTTTCCTCTGTGTATAAATACTTCTCTTTTGTCCTCACTCATCGCTGGGTCAGTGTTTGGTCTTTACCTACTGTTATGTTCTCCTCGTCGTTCACCATCTTTAGTGTTTGTTTTTTCCTTTTGTTTATTCAGCTGCCCTGTCAGCTTTTTGTTTTATTTTTGTTAAAATAAATATTTTACATTTTGAAAACTCTCRCCTCCGTRCAGARTTTAGTTCATTCCTCGCTCAAATGTAACAAGTCTAAAACTCAGACATGAAAGGCAGTYATGATGACCGTAGGTTCAGAGGTCATGGTCAGGAGATTCTTCATGCTACACATTCCTTCATAGAATTCCAGGAATTTAATTGGTGGCTATTTTTGTCTGATTATGTATTTTTTTAAGTTTACTCGGTCAGTAAAAGAAACTGCATATAAGCAGCTACACAAGTCTAAATGAACAATAAGATAATAAAAACCATTCAAGATACGTCAGTGAGCTGTAGCAGTTAAAATGGTTTACAGAAATTGGTTTTCTCATTAAAGCTGAATAAACTCACGAGAAAATCCAAAACAAAACAAAGTGGGCTAAAGACATGTTCATGGTAATAAAATTAAAGTGTGATTGTCAAAATCTACTGTTAGTAAAGACATAATGTTGGAACTTTAGTTCCTACAAAACGTAGAAAGGTGAGTGTTTTGAAGAGAGGCAGCACATTTTCTCATTCTTTGATTTGTGGATGAAGTCAGAAAAAGGAGCAGYAGTGATGGCAGTCGTTCCCTCTACTAAGACACTTCTTATTATGTCAGTTTACAGTAAGTGTAATGATCAYTTTTTTGCCGGAAATTTCTCTGTATTTTTCTCCATCCATCCATCCATCCATCCTGCAGCTCTGAACCGTTTCTCAGTCCCTGATGAAAACCTTCCCCACATCATGATGCTGCCGCCACTGTGCCTCACTGTGGAGATAATGTCCTCAGWGCTGTTCCATATGTTCTAACATCCCTAACAACCAAAGGGTTCAATTTTAGTGTCACTAAACTTACTTCCACATATTCAGGGTGTTTCTCAGTCTACATCGATGCTGAAGGTCTTAATGCTCATTTACTCATGTTTGAGGTCAGGCTTATTTTGTTGATCTTGTCACTTCCATTCTGCTCTCTGGTGCAGAATTATGCAGGAAAATGAGTTCCATATTTCCAAAAGAAGAATGTTTCTGTYTGTACTTCCCATGGGAACATTTATTGTAAACAAATTTTAATTTTGAGAAGAAAAGTATCAAAGTTACAAAAAGCAGCTTAGCATTTTGACAAGTGAATGGGTAAAATAACACAAGTCTGCAGTAGACTGCAATGAGATGTATGGAAAAATAAAAACAGAAAAACTGTGGTGTGAAACTGCACACTTCAAAGAGCTGCTTTAAGACTTGATTTGCTCAGTAATTATGTGTACAATCAGAGGTATTCCACAGAAAGCTTGGGATAAATCCTCCCTCRGCTCTGTTATCATATAACCAGAAGAGCTCAGCTGTAGCTTCASTTAGTTCTAAATTTATTTCACTCACTTTGCAAACTTTCCTTATCATGTAAGAAAAGTTCAGGTGTCTTTAAATCAGCATTCTCAGATGAATTACAAAGACTGCCTGTGAACCCTGAAGGAATAATGAATAAAATGTCTGTTTTTATCTTTTGCTTTTGTATTGATTTGTCCAGCACAAAGCTGCTCTCATCAGTGCTGCTCTGAAATGTGAAATGCTTTTAAATTAGATCAAACTTTTTTAATGCTCTATTTCTWTTACTTGTTTGAAGGCTGTAGGTAATAATTTATGAGTGAACTTTGTGTTCTGGTATGAGATAAGAAGCGGTGCATTCGTGGTAATGTTTCATCTAAACCTTTTTGTGAAGTTATTTCTGTTGAAGGAGAGAAGTGAAGCAGGATCCAGATTCTATAAGATCACAGACTGAAACCCTCTGGCTCCATGTTACTAACCTTCATTAATATATACATGCATACACATATGTATATTATATATATGTATATATATACAGTATATTTGATTCTCATTTATCAGGTTTTTTTGTTGTTGTTCTTTAGTTATTAGCCACTACCAAAGGTGAGATGGAACCGATGTGCGTGTTATATAGCACCTTTCTATCAAACTAGGATATGCAAAAGTCTTTACAATCTGTGTCCTCATTTACACATTCACACACACATTCATACACACATTCATGCACACATTCATATACACATTCACACACACATTCATACACACATTCATACACACATTCATACACACATTCATATACACATTCACACACACATTCACACAGCACTCTAGATCTCTACAAAGCTAACGTGTACAAATCATTCTATAGAGCCTAATCACACTCATATACTGATCAGAGGCAGTGGGGGTTTAATATCTTGCCCAGGGACACTTCCTAACCCTTAACCCTAACCATGAGACTGAATAGTGGTTGAATTGAACCACCAACTCTCTCARTGGAGAATGTATGCTCTAACTACTCATCCCCGGCCAACCATTGTCTTAGTAAAGTATCTCATGACCACTGGACAAATTTTAAAGAAACTCTCAGAAATCAATCATTAGGCATACATACTGTATACTACTGATGAAGTTTTGATGGCTCCCACAGTTAACAACCATAGAAAACACAAAAATGWCAATAATTTAGTCAGTTTTAACAGTAGTGAGCTAAAATTGGATGTAGTAGTAGCTGAGAGCTGAGTTGTATTCTGAGTGCTAACTGATTGCACGATATTTGTTTTTTAACTATTGGACTGTTTTTCGCATACCAGGTGGGATTTGTTCCAGCATCAAGACATAAATATTTACACAGATTGTCTTATGGTACATCAACCTAGTCCTGTCATGATAATCAGTAAATCAATTAATCTCACAACACATTAAAATGAGGTTTATCGCCTGCTTYTTTGTTTTCTTTCTGCCTTTCTATTTTCTACTCCTCAGTGTAGAGAGGATTGAACTCTGGCGTCAGGGATTTGCCAGGTGTATGGTCTCTAAACTCTGTAGCATGAGAGCCATGTGAACATGCATTTAACTAAACAAGCTTCTTTCTTTCGACTCCTCTGGGAACAGTSCCGAACCTTGGGTTCGCCAATTTATTTATTTATTTTTATTTTTTTTACATTATGTAAATTTCATAAACTTTCGTAAACTTTGTAAGTAGCATGCAGGTGACCACAGTTATTTATAAAGCCAGAGGGCAGCACAGAATAAATTGTGTCGGGTTAGATTGAGGTGTTGGGAAGTGACAGCAGCTTCAGCAGCTGCTGTTGTGTGATGTTTTCAGAATCTCCTGTCCAGGTCAGTTTGTAACATTATTTCTTATGTACATAAATGTCATAATCTTTCTTCTGATACAATTTTTTATCATGACAGGCCTACATCAAGCACTGTAATAATACTGACTGTGGATAAAAGCATTAAAGTTTGTCCTAACCAAAGACCATGGATGACAGGGGACGTTAAGTCACTCCTCAAATCTGGTGATGTAGCCTCCAGGTCAGGAGATAGGTCCCCATGTAGCACTGTCAGGAGAGGCATCAGGAAGGCTCAAGATCAAAGTGGAGACTTACTTTTATTCCAAGAATCCAAGAGGACTATAGCAGGGCATTCAGTYTATTACCCACTGTAAAGGCAGCAAGAGCTGCTCACTAATGCAGTGACTGAAAGACTAAATTGTTTATTTGCTCATTTTGAGGCCAAAACATCTAACCTGAGGTCACAGTTGCAACCAACCACTGGCTCTAAGATGCTCCCTATTCTGGAGGATGATGAGACAGAATCAAACTGGTACAACCAAAGGCGGCTACAAGCCCTGATGGGGAACCTTGGATGGTACTGAGAGAGTGACCAACTGTGTGCTGTTTTTACTGTAGTCTTCAGCCAGCCTCTGGAACAAGCTACTGTCCCACCCTGTCTGAAAACAGCAGTCATTAGTCCCATCCCAAAGACGTCCAACAGGCTGACTTACTACAGGACAGTTGCACTGACACCCAGTCTTTGATCAACACTGTTGACAGGGCAGCCATACAGAACATACATGCCACAGCCCTCCACTAGGGCTGTGTGGTAAATGCGGTAGACGGAAACGGTATGAAGTTGGCCTACAGTAGAAATTTACCCTCTACCGTCCTATTGTCAGTTACGTCATCGCACCTGTGTCAACAGGGCTGCGAGTGCAGAGACAACTGAGCAAGAGTTTGAAATTTAATGAAGAAATACAGCGCTTTAAAACACGTACTGCATAGAGAGAAGAAATCCTCAAAATTTCCCCCTCCCGCTGCAGAAAGGTTACGTCGGGTTCCCCACGACTCTCCAGCAGCACGTTCTGCAGAACGAAGCTTTAACAACTGCAGTTTTTTCACACCAAATTGTCAGAGAAA